AGGGGGCCCCAGGTCTTGCTGGGAGTCAGACAGACCTCCAGGGGCCCCGCGAGCCCCTGCCTCTGGCCCACCCAGCCCCACCCCCGCCCTGCCCAGTCTGTGGGCTGAGGATGCGCAGCAGCAGCCCCCTACCCGAGGACAGGGCAGCGACACAGGGCAGGACGGGCTCCAGCCGGGCCTTGCGGAGGGCGGTGGGGGCACGGGGGGAGCTGTGGGGGCGTGGGCACTTCTGCGCCCGCCAGCGCCTCGGGGCCTCTCGGGCTGGTGCAGTGGGCGGCTTCTGCAGGAACTTCCTCTCCACGTATTTGTCCTTGATCCAGGCCTCCTTGTCCTGCCTGGACCGGGGCACACGTGAGGCCGCAGCCCCGGCCGGCTCCGCGCAGGTCTGGGCTGCACCCGGCTCACCTGGGGCTGCTGGCCGTGGGCTTCCTGCTGCCCGCACCCTCGCACCGGGCCTCGTAGATCTGGTTCACGGTGCCGTTTCCAAGTTCACACATCAGCTGGCAGAGACGGGGCGGCCGGCGTCAGTCCAAGCTCGCGGACTCCAGCTCCCACCTCCCACCCCCGGGGCCCAACAGCCTTCGGCGGCCCCACGCACCTTCAGCAACTCTGGCTCCCAGGAGTCCAGCGTCAGGGATCGCACCTTGGAGCAGTGGACACCCAGGCTCCTGGACGGCACGGGGCGGGATGAGTCTAGCCTGGCCCCAGCCCCGGCCCCGCCCCGGCCCGGCCCGGCGAGCCCACCTGTGGATGCCTGAGCACTCGATGCACAGCAGCACGCCCAGGTTGATGCTGGCCCAGCGCGGGTCCGGCTGGCCGCAGTCGCCGCACTGGCCGTTGCCGGCCACGCTCTGCACGCGCTGCAGCACACTCTCCCCCTTGACGCCGCGCTCCCGAGAGTCCGTGGCTGAGTCGATGCTGCTCGTGGACGGGGACGCTGTGCGGTCCAGCCTCTGGGGGGCGGGGTGGGGGCCGCTCAGTCCTGCAGGAGCTCCGGCCTCAGTTTCCCCAGCAGGTCCCCTCATCCCCAGCCAAAAGTGCCAGCACAGACCAGGGCCCTCTGAGCCCACGCCTGCTCAAGCATGTGTGTGCACATGTACGCTCACACGCGTGGGCATCACCTGCCGTGCCTTGCACACACGCCAGACACACGTGCATGCGCGGGGCCTGCAGGAGCCGCCCCGTGTGGCACAGGACGCACGCACGCCCGTGGAAGGGGCGAGGGGGGGGCCGCACCTCACTGTAGCAGCTGTCCGGGCTCTCGCGGTAGGCGGAGGCGATGCTGGCCTGCACGGCCTGCACCCAGGCCTGCCGCAGCTTCTCCGAGTCGGCCTGCAGCATGCAGCTCCTGGCAGGAGGGGGACGTCAGGCTGGCAGGGCAGCGGCTGCCCCCTTCCCGCCCAGGCTGGGCCTCCTTACTTGGTGGGAGACACGACCTCAAAGCAGAACCTCCTCTCGATGTCCTCGCACGGCTTGACAGAGCACAGGCGGAGGTCATCCACCACCACGGTCAGCGCGTCCTGCGGGCAGCACCTCTGCAGCCTGTGCCCTCGGCCCCCACCGCAGCCCCGACCCCCCGCGACACAGGCCGTTTGCAACTCTCTGTCCCCCTGACCGCTCGGGCTCGATGTCCATGAGGGTCCCAGCCCTCGCCAACCCACTGACCAGCCCACCCCGGTCTGGGTGGGGAGGGGCCCAGCCACGGCGGACGCAACCCCCGGCCCCACGGCGCACCTTGAGCTTCTTCTGATAGACCAGCTGGCTGTTCTGAATGGAGAACCAGCGCCTGGGCGTGTGGCCGGTGGGGAGACAGGCGGAGAATCAGGCAGGGCCACCCCCACGTCCACGCCGACCCCACCGCCGCAGCCCCTCTGAGGAAGGCCCCTCACCGATTCCACGTCTTGAAGGCGTTGCTGGCCCTCTTAAAGAGGTAGCCCTCCATCACCACGCCGCTGGGCGCGTCCACGTCAAACTCCGCCTTGGACTCATCGTAGAAGTCCTGGCGAGGACGGAGCCGGCCCCGTGAGCGCCCACCCCAGAGCGGAGCCTCTGCTCCTCCCGGCCAGGCCCTGGCCTGAGCAAGGCCCCTGCCCCGAGTCCCTGTGGGGCCGGCCCCTCGCGTTCACCGCCGGGGGCTCCCCCCAGCCCCAGCCCCGTGGGGACGAACAGGCTGAGAGCAGGAAGGAAGCTGCTCCCGGCGTCTGAGGGCCCCATTGACGCGCCAGCTGCGCCTGCCCTGGCCGGCCTGACAGAGCCCCATTCAGGAGGCCCGGGAGCCACTGGGCGTCCTGTGTGTCCCGCCGTCTGGCAGGCCGGGGCGGCAGAGGGGAGGCCGGGCCACCTGCTCTCCATGCTGAGTGGGGGCGGGAAGGGACAGCTGCTGCCCTCCCGCAGGGGACGTCGGGGGACGTGGTCAAGGCTGCCCGGGGTCTGCATGGGCCAGCACCCCTCATGGCCACGCGCACACAGGTGCCTCCGGGCGCCCAGTTCCAAGGCCCAGGGAGGTGTCCTTGGTGCTGAAGTGCCAGCCTGCGGGGGAGGCAGAGGCCCGCCCCTCCCCCTCCCCCATGCCCCTGCCGCAGCGTGGGCACTCACCTGCAGCAGCGTCTGAGGGGCCAGAGCAAGAGGAGGTGTGAGGGGGAGAGAGAGCCAGTGAGTGATGGCGGCCCCAACTCCCGCGGGCTCATCCAACCCAGAAATGGTCACTGCTGCCTGCACCGACCCCTGCCGTGGGTGGGGGCCGAGCCCTTCTGGCTGTGGGGCCGCCCTCCACCTCCCCAGCCCCAGTGAGGCTCCCAGGGGCAGGGGTGTGAGGGGTGGGGGGCTGGGGGCTGGGTCGTGGGCCTGTGCGCAGTGGCCCCCAGGCTAGGGCTCTTGAGGTGAGGGAGGGCAGGGCTGCCACGGGGCCTCACCCGCTGCTGGATGGCGGCGTGCTTGCGCTCCATCTCTCGCTTCTCCACAGCAGAGTCGACTACCAGCTGGTCCAGCTGTGGTGCAGGCCATCAGGAGGGGAGTGGACCCCCACAGAGACCCCACCCCGCCCCAGCCCTCCCGAAGGCTCACCTCAGCCGCCAGCTTCTTCATGTAGGGGTCCAGCTGGTGCAGGAGGCTGTAGCCCTGCTGGAAGAAGCTGTACTGGGCGTGCATGAAGGACAGCATCTGCGGGGGCGGACAGGTGAGGCCCCCGGCCGGCCCGGCACTCCCACCAGGGCTCCCGTACCCCCACACCTGGGCTGCCAGTGCCCTGACGCCCGTGCTCCCAGCC